GACAGGTATAGTTTTCTTACTGGACAGGGGAGGAGAGCCTGAATCTGTGGCTGTAATTTCAACATTATACTCTAAGAAGCTCTCTCTGTCTAAAGCACCACTGGTTACAAGCTCATAGTTATCAGAAAACGATGGTTTTAGAGAAAATGGCGATTTTTTCCTAAGCTGTAACGTCACTTTACCATTGTTACCGGAGTCGAGATCTCGAGCACTGATTAAAGCCACCACTGTGCCACGAGGTGCATCTTCGCGGACTGGACTGGGTGTTGACGTGAGAACAATATCTGGAGTGTTATCGTTTATGTCCTCCACCTCTAACTGCACACGGCAGTGACCCTCCATTTCTGGGACTCCTCTGTCTTTGGCCGTCACATCTATTGTATATGATTTAGAACTCTCATAATCCAACGAACCCTTTAATACAATTTCACCAGTCACATCATTAATGTCAAATGTTGATAACACAGATTCTGCAGTCCGGGTCCCGAAATAATATTTAACCTCACCGTTAGGACCGTCGTCCGCATCAGTGGCTGAGAGTTTAATTACAGGCGTTCCCTTAGTACTGTTCTCTTTTAAAGAAATTTTGTATTCATTTTCGCTAAATACTGGGAAATTGTCATTATTGTCAAGTACAGAAATGAGGATTTTGCAGGTTCCAGATGTGACTGGATTTCCTCCGTCTAACGCTGTCAATAGTAGCGTATGGACCGCATTCTTTTCCCGGTCTAAGGATTTTTCCAGCACTAATTCCGGAACCGCCTTTTCATTCTTTGTATCTGTGTATTTTAGTGAAAAATGATCGTTTTTACTAAGTGTGTAGGTTTTTAAGGAATTGCTCCCAACATCGGGGTCGTCTGCGCTCTCTAAAGGAAAACGTTTGCCAAGAGCAACTGACTCCGGTATTTTTAGATTAATATCCTGTGTGTGAAAATGGGGAGAGTTATCATTTATATCTCTTATTTCTACCTCAATTCGATGCGACTGCAAAGGATTTTCAGCAACTACTTGCAGAGGTAAAACACAGCTGGCGCTTTGTCCACACAAACCCTCTCTGTCTATTCGGTCATTCACTACCAGCTCTCCTTTCCCCGCATCCACGCTGAAAAACTGCTTTCCAGCTTCAGATGCGACACGAAGCTTACGGTCAAAAACATCTGATAGTCCCAAACCGAGGTCTTTGGCTAAATTCCCCACCACAGAGCCTCGTTTCAGCTCCTCCGGGATGCTGTATCGAGTCTGCCCGTCTATTGTACTCCACAAGAGAAAGAAAATGAGCCACCAGTGCGTCTGCCATCGCCGGTCACTGTATCGCGTTCCCTTTATCATTTTGGTCCGTTATAGCACACCATTCATGAAATGGATGTTATTTGTAGCAATGTCTAAATCCAACATAGTCAAAGTCAATGCCAAAGAAAAGAAATCCAATAGAACACGAGCATGGAAAAAAGCTAAAAGGTATTTTAAATCCACAAAAACCTGAGCTCATCGTAATCCTTCCTCCAGCTCATTGTTTTGCAAGTGGCAGCGCCGAGACTGAGAGGGGGCAGGGAGAAGATTTCTTTGTACACTTTAGGATTCTATTGGTGTACAGCGTTCACATCTAACAGCCAATGAGAGCGAAGCTGACCAACACGTTATGAAGCTGCTGTAAATCTGTGTGTGCGGCTACATGAGTTGAAGCTTATATAAATGAGTAAATGCCCAATGATAAAATGTGTTGAGGGTCCTATACAAAAGGCAAACAATTACACAGAATACACAAAATAATAAATATGTACATTACGAAAAAATATTCTACACGAGAAAGAAGATTGTACGGCTACTGTATGTATTTAAAGAAGAGCTAAAATACCAGTCGCTGTCCGCTGCCACAGTGCTGAACTGATAACGATATGAGGGTAGGAATCAACCAATCCAACAGATTGCTCTATCTTTGCATCTTCCTTAGCAGATAGAAGGAATGTTACATATTTTTTATACCTTAAGAATATTTTTTCTAAGTTTATCTTTTGCAATGAAGCATAAACGGGGAAATCAATAGTGATTATTATTATTGTATTTATATCACTGCCATTTCTATTATTAATTATGACGCTTTTAACATGCTGTCCTCAAACATAGTGCTGAACTAGAAAATGGTCGAACACTAACAGAACTGTCAAAAGTTGTGGAATTTGATTAGTTTTTCGTGTATTTTACTTCTATATTATAACAAGTCATTATACTGAAGTTGCACTGCTCACCTGCTGGCTCTCAAAGGTCCA